TCAATTCCATTCTCAGTGAGTTACAGTGATAACTCGTTTCTTATTTTAATAATAAAAGAAGATGCCACGATATTTATCAAATTCCTGAAGAAAATTTTGGTATGCTCAGTTTGAGTTATGAGAGAGAAATTGGTACCACGTTTCCTTTGTGGTACTAATGCTGCTGCAAGTGTTAATTTTTTTTTTTTTTAACTGTATTGAGGTTATAGCTTTGTCCTCAACCTACCTTATGGTGTCAGCCTCTTGCTCTGAATAGAATATGCAAGATCACAAGGTGTCCTGAGTCCCTGCAGTGTCTAGAGGAGGGAGGAGTGGGTGAGCTCAGGTTACTGTGGCAACTTTCAGCTGCATTTTTCCCTTTTTCGCAGTTGAGTTTGAGACTCTGACTAGTGATACTTAGGACATTTAGTCCATCAGATGGAAACAAGAATATAGAAGCAAATGATGCCTATGGCAAGGCATCCATTCACCTGTTACCCTTGCTTTCCATCTCTTCCTTCATCAACCCCAGTTTTATTTTCTTTATTCAAGCGACATAGACGATGTTGGCCTGCCTTCCTTGCTTAGTTCTCTGTGCTGTGCGGACGGTTCTTATCTGAGCCCTTCTCCCTCTGTGTCCTTTGCTCAAGAGTTAGGATAGCAGACAGCGGTTTAATATCACAGTCCTGGGGTGAGCTACTCTGCGCGTCTGTAAGCCCTGTTGCTGCTGTTTACCGGCTGTGTCACTCGGCCAGATATCTTCTCTGGGCCTCAGTTTGTTTATGAATGAGAGTGATAATAGAATTATTGGAGAGGATTAAAAAGATAATCCTTGCAAAGAGCTAGGAATGGTGGCTGGCACATAGTAAATTCTCAAATATTAGCTATTGTTATTACTCAGTATAGCTGTTGAATCTTCAGGAAGCTTATCTTGATTTAACATCATTACCGTCGTTATTTACTGGTTATTTTGGATTCCCATGCTGTACTGTCATATTATGTATTATTTTATGTATTTCTGTTCTCTTGTTACTTGTGTGTTGCTTCAAGCTAATTTAGGAAATCAGTTTGTTTTTCCTCTGTATTTTGGCCTGCTATTAGTAGAGTGTTCTGTACATGGTAAGGGTAGTTCCATAAATGTCTAGGCTTTAGGAATTTTGTAAATTTTCTTTCTTTCTTTTTTTTTTTTTAAGAAATTTTGTAAATTTCCTTGATGAATCTCATGCATATTCTACCTTTTTAAGTGATGTTACCCGAAACATAACTGATTTACTTGTGCTTTCCGTAACGCTAAGTTCTTGCCAAAAAAGCCAGTGGTTTGTACAGTCTGTGTACTTCTTAAAGAATTGGAGTGATCCGTAACTTTATCCATCATAATTTAAGATCAGATAGTTCACCTTGGTTGTTTCCATAGGACATTAAAGTTTTTAAAAATAATTGCATTAGATAATGATGAAATTTTTACAATTTTTTGAAAAAAGATTTTATTCATATTAAAAAGCATGTGAAGGGGTGAGGGAGAGGGAAAGACAGAATCTTTTTCTTTTCTTTTCTTTTTTTTTTTTTTTAAGATTTTCTTTAGGGGTGCCTTGGTGGCTCTGTCCTTAAGTGTCTGCCTTTGGTGGCTCAGGTCATGATCCCAGTGTCCTGGGATCAAGCTCCACATCCAGTTCCCTGCTCAGTAGGGATCCTCTTCCTCCCTCTCCTGCTCCCCCTGCTAGTGCTCTTTCTCTGTCAAATAAAGAAATAAAGTCTTTTTAAAAAATAAAAAATAAGTAAAGACTTTATTTATTTGACAGGTAGAGAGCATAAGTAGACAGAGCAGCAGGCAGTGGGAGGCGGAGAAGCAGGCTCTCCAAGGAGCAGGGAGCCCGACTCGGAACTCAATCCCAGGATCTGGGACCATGACCTGAGCCTAAGGCAGCCACTTATCTGACTGAGCCACCCAGGTGCCCTGGGTGGGCTGCCCTAAGACAGAATCTTAAGCAGACTCCCTGCTGAGCACGGAGCCCCATGCAGGGCTCGGTCTCAGGACCCTAAGATCATGACCTGAGCTGAAATCAAGAGTTGGATACTTAACTGCCTAGACACCCAGGTGCCCCAGACTTGTTTTTTTTTTTTTTTTCTTTTTAAGATTTTATTTATTTATTTGACAGAGATCACAAGTTGGCAGAGAGGCAGGCAGAGAGAGAGGAGGAAGCAGGCTCCCCGCTGAGCAGAGAGCCCGATGTGGGGCTCGATCCCAGGACCCTGAGATCATGACCTGAGCTGAAGGCAGAGGATTTAACCCACTGAGCCACCCAAGCGCCCCAAACCCAGACTTGTTTTTAAAGGAGAGTGTACTTAGTGACTGGTCTTTCTGCCTCTGACTAACAGATGAGAATGTCAGCTCAGCTGCTTCCTGCACCCACTGACTGCCTGGTTCTGTCCCCTGTGCCCAAGTTGGGAAAGGCTGGTGGATATAAATGACTGGGCCCGTGGAAATGTCCTGGCATTTCCTTAAGCCATGTGGACTTTGTGCATTGTCCTAATGGTAGCTTACTTAGTGACTCGGCCTGCGGTGACTCCTCACCCCTGAACTGGGACGGACTCTGGTTAACCTTTAATTTCTTAGGGAGGAAACCAAGATCCCTGCTGTCAGAGATGAGAACGTTCTGGGAAACTCCCCAAGGAACTCTGTGTTCTTTGTTCTAGAGCAGTTGGTCTCAAGCAGCTTGTATTTCTCTGGCTTCCCTTCCTGTTTCATCTTTCATCTGCCTGAAGTAGCTGGTCATCCTTTGTTTTTATGAAGGCACGTGGGAGTGGATTTTATTGTCTTAGGTTGAAAGCTTATTTTTGCTTAAGGAAGGCATGTGGGAGGTTTTGAAAATGCAGATGTTCGGTTTTCCTCATGCCCTGCTGGCAGCTACTGGCATGCGCTCTGTGGAGGAGGGGCGGGGGGTGGTAGGGAAGACAGGGGTCTAGAAACTGGTGGGCAGCTTTGTCCCTCTGATTGTGAGTGGGAGCGAGAGCCGAGGACCATCTATACGCAGTAGGGAGGCGGTCCGAGAGCATGCTGTGAGCAGCATCCTTTGTGCGCGCACATGGCTCGGTTTCTGAATTCGCTCCAGTCGAAAACATCGCAGGAGGACTTCTCTGCTGTAGATTGCAGTTAGGTGAGGACGAAGCTTTACTGGGGAGAGTCCTTCCGGGGAAGGACAGGAAAGTTGCTAAAGGTAACACAGTCCAAACTGTAGTGTTTTCTCTACGTGAAGCACCACTGCCTGTGAACCCATTTTGTGTAGAGACGGAGCCAGGGTTGGACCTCCATCTTTCGTAACCACATACCTGCGCTGTGCTGCCTTCTACCTTGCCAACAATGAGCCTTTCTTCTTTGTGACCCTGTACACTCCACAGCACCCACCGCATTCATTTAGCAAATTGTTTAATCTCTGTTTGACATTGGGTTTGGTGAAAATGAAAAATTGTATTTTTGCCGGAGGGTGTCAGATGGTAATTCTTTGGCAAGTTGCAGGCCTTCCCATGTATGAACTTACTGGGGTGGAGATACCAAGTGACTTCTGATGGAATTCTTTCTTCCTTTGCTTTAGATTTGATTCATCAGGCTAGTCTCTAAAAAAGAGGTGTGATTTGTAAAGGTTATGAGTAAGAATGCCTTGCTATTTACAACATGGAAAATGTTCTGTCCAAACTTAGCTGCAGCACTGGGAATCCACTGTTTAGTCCGTTTTACTGTTCCTACCACCAGCTAATCTTTGTTAGAAAGCAAAGGTGATGAAAATACAGTAGCATCCAAAGAATGCTTTGGTTTTCAATGTGATTTTTTTTTAAAGATTTTATTTATTTACTTGACAGAGAGAGAGAGATCACAAGTAGGCAGAGAGGCAGGCAGAGAGAGAGAGGGAAGCAGGCTCCCGCTGAGCAGAGAGCCCGATGCGGGGCTCGATCCCAGGACCCTGAGATCATGACCTGAGCTGAAGGCAGAGACAGCCCACTGAGCCACCCAGGGACCCCTGAATTCTTTTCAAAATTGGTTTCTTCTTCCTAAATTCGTTGTCAGTTGTGCCCCAGTCAGGTGAGATGCTCGTGGTGACTTGAACAGCAAGGACACAGCCTGAGGAGCTTCGATGGGGCTGCTTCTGTCAGCTGCCTGTGTAAGGGCAGCAGGTGACTGAACCTCGTTGAGCCTGTTGTCACGTCTTGAATTTGGTCATTGCACCTGGAGAGTGAGGACAGGCCAGTGGGAAATGCAGCTCTCTGTTTCAGACAGTTCTGTGCTCTTCGGGTTTTTTGGGGTTTTGTTGTTGTTGTTGTTGTTTTTGGTGGGGTTTTTTTGTTTTGTTTGCTTTTGGAGCCTGTGTTATTTTTGTAATTTATCAAAATAAAAAGTTATGTAGGAATATAATGAAGTGTTGCTATTGGTTCGTAGTCTCTTTGTTCCCGGAAGAAAGATTAGGAAACGTGGAGAGGAAATAACTTTGAGGGGTGCTGACTTCTCTAGGACATTAAGTCTGTTTTCCTTGGTGCTCCCTTAGTGCTTGAAAGTTGGCCCTGGTCACCCTGCGGTGGAGTTTGAAAGCAAATACCAGGCACTGGTTCATGGAATTCATCTCTAAGATTTTTTTAATATAAAGATAAGTGACTTGTTTTTCACCTTTGGCTAAGACTAAAAACAAACCCCCAATTTTAATACTTGTTCTTGTTTCTTTTAATTATCTGTCAAAGTATAACATTTGTCATAGGAAATTGATGTAGAACCAAGTTTTTTGAAAAAAGGAATCACCGTCTTCTCATCCCGGGCCAAGTCCTGTTAACCCTTGTGTATATTCTGAGCCGTTCCTGTGTGGGGTTCGCATGCGCAGGCTCCGCAGCGGGGTCCTGCACGGTGCTTTTCTGCTACTGTCTGTTCTTCCTTTTTAGTGCTGTGCGCGGCGGGCCTGAAGCACGCTCCGGCTCCGGCGCTTCTGGACTGCTGCTTCGGGCCCTCCGCTGCTTCACTGCTGTCTTGTCTTGTTTTCCAGTGGATGAATACATTGCCATCGCCAAAGAGAAGCACGGGTACAACATGGAACAGGTAATGACGCGGTTTTCTTTCGTTGTCCGAGATGGGTTTCGTTTTAAAGGGGGGCAGTTTGTAGCTAACCCGTTAAATTGATTGTGTTCTGTGTGTTGAGTAGCAGTGCGGGCTTTTGGTGGTCACTGGCAGACTGAGGTTCCAGTCCCCTTGTCCTGCTGGGGACGAGCTTTAGAGGACGCTTTGATTGGAAAAGCATCCGTGTGTGTTCCTGCAGGTCTGTAGTGTTGGTGGCGCCTGTAGCTCCAGGGTCGCTCCAAGGTGCCAGATGCTTGGCATAATGCTTCCCTCTCTGAGTGTGTGGCTTGTTCGCCTTTCGCGTGTTTGTGTGAGGGCTTTTTCCTGACCCCGTCACATTCAGACCCACAGTGTTTCCATATTAATTGTTTTGAATTACCCTCAGGTTGTAAAACTTGACTAAGGTTTTCTTAAAATGATTGGAACCTATTAATGAGAAATAGATGAAATTAATCTTGCTCCAGAAGTCTGACAATAATCTTAATTCAGTCTTATTTCTGATTATTGTTTTGAAAATAAGTATATTAAGTTAGGTTAGCACTTTGGCATTGATCTAGGTATTACAGCCTGTACATTACTAGCATTTATCCTCATGACTGAGGGATACCACCAAGTTACTTTAGATAGAATTGGACTCTTTTGGGATGCCTGGGTGGCTCAGTCGTTAAGTGTCTGTCTTCGGTTCAGGTCATGATTCCCGGGTCCTGGGGTGGAGCCCCACATCAGGCTCCCTGCTCAGCGGGGAGTCTGCTTTTCCCTGTCCCACTCCTCCTGCTGGTGTTCCCTCTCTTGCTGTGTCTCTCTCTCTCTCTGTCAAATAAATAAAATCTTAAAAAAGAAAAAATCAGACTCTTTTAGCCCTGGTCTTACTTTTAATTGTTCTACCCTTGTGGAATTTGTTGGAAAAGCCAATTACAATGAGATAGTTCCAGAAGCTTTCAAAGCAAAAGATGTATGCTTTCTCTTTTTCATGAACTTCACGAAGTTGCTCAGAAGATGACCATTTTTTTTCTTTTTTTTAGTATTTTATTTTTATGTAATCTTACACCCAGTGGGGGACTCAAACTCACAACCCCCTAGATCAAGAGTTGCAAGCTCCACTAACTGAGCCAGCCAGGCACCCTGAACATCACCAATTTTAAATTCTATTTAGAAAGTGTATAAATTACTGGGCAGTCGATTGGGGCATCTGGGTGGCCCAGTCGAAAGGGCATGGGACTCTCAATCTCAGGGTTGTGAGTTTGACCCCCCACATTGGGTGTAGAGATTACTTAAAAATAAAATCTTAAAAATAAAATTGGTGATTGCTAAATACACACTTATATGAGTTTTTAAGGATTCTGGTCTTCAAAATTTTGATTCTCACTTTGGAATTACAGGAAGTTTTCTCAGGAAAAAGTTGCTGAATTATCTCTCTTATTTCCAATTTGTCCCTCACCCATTTGAATATTTTCTCCCTTCTGAGCTACCAAAACCAAACAAAAAAAAAAAAACAACAACCCAAAACTATTTTTGAGTTTTTTCGGCAAAAAGATAAAGAATGATTACATTTTAAAAACTTTTTTAGAAGATTTATTTGTTTTAGAGAGAGAGCGGGGTGGGGGGCTGCAGAGGGAGAGAGACTATTAAGCAGACTCCATGCTGAGCACAGAGCCCGACAGGGAACTTGATTTCATGGCCTTGAGATGGCAACCTGAGCCCAACCCAAGAGTCAGAGCTTAACCAGCCCAGGCACCCCCAGTTAAGTGCTTTTAGAGGTTACTTTGCCCCGTTGTCTGTGGAGGCCTCTTAAGGGTACAGATTCTGGAGCCACACTGCCGTAGTCACTTCCCACACCAGCCCGTTGGCAAGGACATAATTTCTCAGGGTCACCGTATTCTAATCTGAGAAGTGAGCGCGGTGGAACGTGTCTCGCAGGAGTCTGCCCGCAGGGGGCGTCGGTCGCCGTCAGTCACCTTGCGGTACTGCCTGGTTGCCCAGCAGCATAGGCTCTTCTTCTGCTAATCTCATTTCCATTTTAGTGTTTCACTCCTGTCTTTGGTCTAAAATTTCACTGATACTGTTTTTCTAGGCTCTTGGGATGCTCTTTTGGCATAAGCATAATATTGAAAAGTCATTGGCTGATTTGCCCAACTTTACCCCCTTCCCAGATGAATGGACTGTGGAAGATAAAGTCTTGTTTGAACAAGCCTTTAGTTTTCACGGAAAAACTTTTCATAGAATCCAACAAATGGTAAGTAAATGAGAGCACTGTATTTTCTCTTCTCCTCAGCCTCTCTTCACTGCAGCATATCTGAAGGGAAGAGATAGCATCCACAAGCATGAATGTTCTCATTTTTAATAAAACTCTCTTTAGATCGTTCGTACTTGCTGCGGGGTGGATAAGAGGCTTTACGTTACAAGAGCGAAGCGTTTTCTAGCACTTCCCAGCTTGATAGCAGCTGTAACAGAAGGCCTCTGCCACCCCCCAACCCTGTCTCTCTTGTTGGGACTCCCCAGATGAGTCCGATAGAAAGCGTCTTTGATGGTTGTTTCTTGAGGGAGAGCATCATGGAACCCTATCAGCCTGGGGAAGGTTTGCTTATCTCTTCTATTGTAGAAGGCCATTTGGTGGAGTCCTACCAGGAAAGCTTATTGGTAGTTACCTGAGTGCTAAAATGAATTTTTAAAAAAAATAACCCGAGTGTTAGGCTAGAAACTTTAGGTAAACATTTGGATTCATCTCAGACTGCTCTAGCAATCTTTTTCCTGGGCTGAATGTCACTTCCAGTCACACTGCAGTAGTTTGGAATGTATTTTTTTTTTTTTTAAGATTTTATTTATTTATTTGACAAGGAGACACAGTGAGAGAGGTAACACAAGCAGGGGGAGTGGGAGAGGGAGAATCAGGCTTCCCACCGAGCAGGGAGCCCAATGCAGGACTTGATCCCAGGACACTGGGATCATGACCTGAGCCAAAGGCAGACACTTAACGACTGAGCCACCCAGGCGCCCCAGTAGTTTGGAATGTATTGATAGGAGTTCTCTTTGAATCTCCTTCTCAGAGAAAAGGGCCCTGACAGTACATTTCTGGGTATGTGAGACAACCCTTATTAACTGTACCTAATGAGCACACTTGATTTGGGGAGATTAGTTCTAAATCGAAACCAACTCAGTTTTTATGTTTAGCTTCCTGATAAATCTATAGCAAGTCTGGTGAAATTTTACTACTCTTGGAAGAAGACGAGGACTAAAACCAGTGTGATGGACCGCCACGCTCGGAAACAGAAGCGGGAGCGGGAAGAGAGGTCAGTGCCTGTCCGGAGGTGATGTCTCCCCACGTGGGGATCTCTTGGGTCAGTAGAATTTCTAAGAGCTGGTAGACACACAAAGGAAAGGTCCGGTGGTGGGTTCCCCCAGGGCCTTCCTGCTAGAGCCACATGTACACAGATACTCTTGCTCTGATGCTCAGGAGCTGCATTAACACGTGTTCTTTTCTGCAGGTGTTTTTTCCTTACTGCTCTCTTCCTGTGTTCAGTAAGCTTCCATTCTGAAAGAGCAAACTTGCCCACATAGTCTTTCCTGCCCCTGAAGGTGTCTCCTTTTAATAAGAAGGAATCCATTATTTCCTAGGTTGAATTTCCTTTCTTATATGCAGGATTTGTGTGACGTGCTTTAATGTCTGATGTGTTAGGAGGTGATTGTGTAGTGTAGATCTCCTCCGTCCCTTTTTCACCACCTGTTTTGTGTATGGGGCAGAGAGAGAGAGAGATTTCATGATTTCTCCTTAATAAGGATCTAGTTTTAAGGATAGCTTAGTGAGCATGCTACATCTTACTCAACACTTGTGCGGACTTCTGAGTGGCACAGAGTAGTGGGAATGGCCCTGTGCTCACACACGGGGCAGGTCCGAGTGTGAATTCCGCAGGCTCTCTGTATGTGTGCTCCCAGGCCACGCTGCCCCACTCGGGCCTTCCCCAGTCATCACTTCCTCGACTCTAAAATGAAGAAGCTTCAAGTCCGGAAGGCAGCACATACACATACTGGTTTTTGTGTTAGGTCAGTGGGACTGTAAGTGGCTTTTTAAAATTATGTCTTCCACATTTTCTGTAATGTTATTTTTAAAAACTCTTAGTACAAATAAAGTGAAGGAAGTGAGACTGTATGATCTCCATGGCCCCATTGCAGGAGAGTGTTTTATGATTTTAAATAGAATAACATGTGGGAACAAATTAGAAGTTTGACTTTTGGAGAATTCGGATCCGTGGACTCAGCTTTAAAATGGGGGCAGTGGTGGGAACATCTGCAAAGCTCTCATGTCTGGCTTCAAGAGCCTGTGACATTGTTGACCTTGATCCGTCTGCCACTTATACACGAGTGCACCTGTTCTTGGATCATTACTCTTGGTAATCAGAAGCGGCAAACACTACTGAATTTGTTTTTAGTGGTCCAATAACTTTTGATTAAACGTTTTTATATCCATTATATGTTTGGTCTCATTTACTTTTTATAAATTGAATCTCTTACTACAGATAGGTATGCTCAGCTGAAATCAGCTGAAATTAAAATAAATAAGTGGGATTTGTTGTCCTTGTGTGACATGGTAGGAGCATCGGCTGACACCTGCGTACTCCCTTCCCTGGTCATCAGCACCAAGGGTAGGGAGACCGGCTGTGCTCCCACCTGCTGTGAGGACGCAGACCAACAAGGGCACGCCACATGGCTGTGGCACCGAAGAAACTGTTGGCAGTAATGGCAGGGTCTGGGAAAGAATTTTCCTCAGCCCCCGGCTCTTTCTTCTTTCAGACACTCTCTCCTCAGGCAGGGTGGGTGGAGAGAGGGGTAGCAGAGCCACCCAGGATGGATTCTTGGGACAGTGGGGACATTGACATTGGAACAGCTGCCTGTTTGGCTGCCATTACTGCTGAGCTGGTCGAAACTGTGGGCAAACTGAGGCCAGCTACTTGACTTGTGTCAGCCTTATTTTCTCATTTTTTTAAAACAAAGGTCCTAACTACTACAGAGGTCTTTTAAAAAATTAATACATGGAAGGCTATAAAGAAGAGCATTTGAAGTACCATGTCAAAATGAATGTTCTTTTTTAAATTAACCTAATCTGAAGTACCAACCTCTGCAGGCCACCAAGAAGCCTCTCCCACCCTCACACTGTGTTGAGTTATGAGCGTCTGTCTACTCCTGGGACTTGAAATGGAGTTTTACTTGTCGGGGAGTTTGTTCCCAGTGCAGCAGGACTCGATTCTTGAGTAATCTCCCATTTACGGCTCATGATCATGTCCTAGCCCTCCACAAGCTAATTATGGGGCAATTACATAAACATCTCAAATTTGACATTTTCAGTGGAGAGTTGAGAAGAAGCATTTTGCACATGTAAAGCAACAGTGTTCTAGACCTGATTCGGGAGTTAGGGACCCATTTTAATAGTTTCTTTTTAAATCATGTAGACCAAGGAAACTAGGAAGTTGGATATTATTTTATTTGAATCAAAAAATTTTTTTTTAAATCTCAGCAGTCTGAAAACATACTAATTTTATATTAAATCTGTCATTAAATCAACTTACTGCTTATATTTGTATATTAAATAGAATTAGTACCAAATAATCTTTCAGTAACTTGTTCTTGTCTTCCAGTGAGGATGAACTGGAAGAAACAAATGGAAATAACCCGATTGACATTGAGATTGATCAAAACAAGGAAAGCAAAAAGGAGGTATTTTTTTTTCCTTAGTATTGTTTAGGCAAATAAACTTTATTACTCATTCCATAAGTAAAACATTCCTCTTAACCTATTTAATATATTAAATGCTATGTACAAGGCATCATGATAAGACTTTTTAAACAATACTAATGTTACTTTATATACCTTAGAATTTTGTTTGCCAAGAAACAGGAATAAAAAGGAAGCCCTAAAGGAAGTGAGAGCGTTATCGAGTAAGGATTTTGGCCCACTGGGCACCCGTCCGCACTGCCTTCTTCCTTCCGTCAGCAGCGGTGGGGTGGTATTGGTGAGGAGCTGGTGAGGGCTTGGTTCCTCCTCTCCACCCTTGGGGCCTCCTTCCTCGTTGAGTGCCAGCCCCAGGGGCCTGCACGGTGGTTCTGGGGAGGACAGCGGGGGGCTAGCGGGGACTCGGTGCACGTTTGCTCGTTACTCAGAACCAGCAGTGGTGATGTTGGCGGTGAGCCTTACACATGGTGAATTTTTAATCTTTCACATCTTAAAATCGTATGTCAAAGGATTCAAGAGACCCATGAATTCCTACAATTGTAAATGACTTTTGTTTTGTATATTTATAACATAACATTTCTTTATTGTAAACTGTCCACTGAGAACGATGGAGTATCTAGATGACCTTAGTAACCTTTCGAAATGGGTTGTGGTCCAAGGTTATTTTGCCCATTCATAACAGTTGACTAAAGCGTATGTGGGATGCCTGGGGGCCCTCCGTCAAACCCAAGGCTCCTTGCACAGATCGGGAACCCTGAACAACACAGCATTATCTGTGGCAGGCCCTTGGTGGGCTCGTGATACAGTCCCTGGAGGAAAGGGCCTCATTGTCCATTGGTGCCCATCAGCCCCTTTGGTTCAGGCTGGAGTGTTGCATCTCAGTGTGGGATGTAACTTTCATATATTCATACAAGTGTTCTTCTGACGACAGAGTCTGTATCTGTAGTTTCAGTAAAACCTCATAGAGTTCTCTTGACAGAAGATTCTAAAGTGTGAAAACAGCTGTTTTAGTCTATACTAGGAAAAAGAAAAGGGTCTGGACATACCTGAAATTAAAAATCACACCAGTAATAACGTGCTTTCCCTAGGCAAAGTAGGAGATCCAGCTAAACAAAAAAGGGAGAATGAAGATGATTCACACCCTTAATGATTATCACATTCGACCACCGTTACATTTGGGTGTCTTCTTCCAGATGACTTCCTGTGAACTGAATATGTCTACTTCTATAATTCTGAATCTGTACTCACTTTTTAAAAAACATAAAATGGGATCTTAATACATAATTTTTAATAACCTTCTACGATTACACTTTCTTGAACATGTTTTTGTATCATATATTTGTATACGTAGTTGTTTGCTAGTTTATCATACACACATAATTCAGCCAAGTAATCTTAAGGGTTTTTATCAGCCCCCACCTTGCTTTTTGCTATTATAAACAATGCTGAAGTGATCTCATGATTAAATATTAGTACACTGAATTTTTTTCCGTTGGAACAAATTTCTGGAAGTTGAATTGTTGGGTTGGTGTCTTCTAGTTACATTTTTAAGGCTCCTTTTGGTGTGCTGCTACATACTGCCAAACTGAAAATGGGTTAATTCTTTATGGACAGTACTCAAGCCAGGGATTTGTATGAATACCCAAACAATAAGACCATTTTAACAGTTGGCTAAATTAGATTGTTCAGGAAGTCAGATTGTACCTGCAATTTTTAGGAAGCTTTGCTTTGATGCACTGTTCTGTATTAGGCTCTTCAATGGGACATTTTTAAATGAAAGAGGAAGGTCTTGATTTTACATTAATTTTGTAATTCTTATTTATATAGCACAATTTCTGATTAAAATAGAAAATGACTTATTTCTTACATTCTGTGTGCACTAAAATGTTGTTAAAACAGGTACATGGTCCATCGGTGATCTTTATTGAACAGCATAGCTATTACAGACATGGGTTATTGCCTACTAATGTTTTTATGTATTGCTTATGACCACTTGTTCAAGACCTCATTGGCACCATCGTAATTGACAGAGTCTGCTTATCTCAGTGTTTCAAATAGGAAGCAAAAAACCTTGTGTATTCTCAGCTTCACCAACAAATGTTAATATGCTAATAAGATACAATTATGAACAATTACAGAAATTTCTTCTTAAAATTGTTTTCAGGAAGTCAGTATCCTTTTCTTGCCAAGGTTTTATTACATTTCATTTCCAAAGGTTTCAGTTTTAGAGAAAGCACTTAAAAAAAATTAGCAGCAGTTGTGCATTGTGAAAAGACAGCATATATTTTTGAGGCAAATTACACAGTTGCCCTGAAAGTTAAGTGTCATCCCAAAAAAGGTACATAAAAAAAAGTCATCTGGTTTTGTATAGAAATTTATATTTTAATAAACTTCTATATAGATTTAAAGAATTTAAACGGATTTTTATATATGTGCTAAATCTTTTTTTTCTCTTTTCTTTCTGTGTTCCCAAATCCATCTCTTTTGCTAAGAACTGTTAGGATAAAATAGCTTCCCCTTCATATATACATAGCACACAGATGAGAATGCAGATCTGTTCTCTTCCTGTATTACTACAGGGAACTGAGCATGCTTATTGCCGGAGGCGTAGAGTGATAGAAGAAGGTTGTGTATACAGGAGGCAGGGGCTTCTGCTTGATGTGTTAGCCAGTGTTCCTGTTAACTGCCTGTTGGGGTTTCTAGATGGTACTTGGGCTATGGCATGGCATTTGTCTCCCGATTGTTTAGAGCCATGTTAAGAAAATATGCTTATTACTGTTCCTTTGGCATTTTAATGTTTCAGAGTCTCATTTATCAAATCTGTGTATCATGCAGGTACCCCCTACGGAGACAGTTCCTCAGATCAAGAAAGAGAAACATAGTACACAAGCTAAAAATAGAGCAAAAAGGAAACCTCCCAAAGGAATGTTTCTGTCTCAAGAAGACGTGGAGGCTGTTTCTGCCAACGCCACGGCCGCCACCACGGTGCTCAGGCAGCTAGATATGGAGTTGGTCTCAATCAAGCGGCAGGTACCGCGGGTCTGGTGCTGGCACAAGGGCTAACGGTGCTCCAGAGGCCTTTGTGTGTTTCACGCACGTAGCTGTGCTCTTCACAGGTCTCCAAAGGGCATTTTGTTTCTAAGGAATTGGACAGAAGATCTTAGGTACTGATCCGTTGATGTTTCTTAAATTAACTTTGAAATTGAAGATTTTTATATGTGTGTGTGTGTATGTGTGAGATTTTCACAGTGTGAGCACAGCCACCCTCTTGATCAAGAGAAGAGCGCCTCCCGAGCCCCGTTCCTTTCCCCTGTAATCCCTGCCCTGCTGGGACTCGGCGTGTCCTCCAGCGCCTCACTAATGCCCCTCACTCGTTACCTGCTTTCTTTCAGTAGCTGACTACTGGTCGGACTTTTTAAACCACACATTATCTTTATCCGTTTTTGGATTTTATATAAACAAAATCATATGATGTGGTTTCTTTCATTTCCTGTGTTTATGCAGCACGTGAGGTCCATCCAGGTGGCCTAGAGCCGTAGACGATGTCTCTCATTACTGTGTAAATACCCCGTGACTTACCCTTTGTACTACTGGCCGATACTTTAGGCCATTAACAGATTGTACTGATGTGGTTTTATATGACTCTTGGTGTGTTTTGTATGCATCTTTGTTGGATACATAGCTGAGTTATAGAGTATGAATATGACCAACATTTTATTTTATTTCATTTTCCCCTCCCCTCCCGTCTCCTCCTCTCCCCTTCCCTTCTTTCGAGGGCAGGGGGTTGTGCAGAGGGAGCGGGAAAGAGAATCTCAAGCAGGCTCCCAGCGCAGAGCCTGACAAAGGGCTCGATCTCACCACTCTGAGATCATGACCTGAGCTGAAACCAAGAGTCGGCCCCTGTCCAGCATTTTCAGAAACAATCCCAAACAGTTTTCCAAGGTGCTCATGTCAATGTATGTGAGTTTGCTTCCACTACACTAGGGCTTACTAAATGCAGCCCTGTTGACATTTGGGGCTGGATAATAACTTGTCCTGAGGAGCTGTCCTGTGCCTTGTAGGATTTTCAGCAGCATCTCTGGCCTTTGCCCACTAGATGCCAGTAGCACCTTGCCCCCATCAGTTGTGCCAACAGGAATGTCCTTAGGCCTTGCCTAATTACCCCTCTCCCCCCGGCCCGGGTGTGGGAGCAGAATTACTTCCTCCTTCCCATTCTGAAGCTTGCTTGCCTTTTCACTCTCTTAATGGTTTATCTTTTGATGAAATTTTTAATTTTAATGTAGTCCAGTTTCTCATTTTTACCTTTTATGGTTAGTGCTCTTAGGTTTTTTTTTTTTTTTTTTAAAGATTTTATTTATTTATTTGTCAGAGACAGAGGGAGAGAGAGCGAGCGAGCACAGGCAGACAGAGGCAGAGGGAGAAGCAGGCTCCCTGCCGAGCAAGGAGCCCGATGTGGGACTCGATCCCAGGACGCTGGGATCATGACCTGAGCCGAAGGCAGCCGCTTAACCAACTGAGCCACCCAGGCGTCCCAGTGCTCTTAGGTTTTGTTCAGAATCTTTTCTAAGGTTATCAAGATAGACTCTCCCATGCTGTCTTCAGAGTGTTGTTCTGCCCTTCACATTGTGGTCTTCAGTCCAGAAATACTTTTCTGTGTGTGCTCTTACATGTAGGGCTGACATACGTGAGCTAACAGTACTATTGATTGAAGACTATCCTTTTCTTACCTCAGTGCATTAGGACCTTCGTTTTAGATCCCGTGTCCATATATGCATGATCTGCTTTAGGGTTTTCTGTTACTCACTCTGGTCTGTGTGTCCATTCTTCACCAATCCTGTCCTGCCTTAATTATACCACCCTTACAAAGCCGAGCATCGGGTCTAGATCGAAAGTTCTCTAAGATTGTCTATCCTGGCCCTTTGTGTTTCCATATAAAATTTAGATACACGGGACGCCTGGGTGGCTCAGTTGGTTAAGCGGCTGCCTTCGGCTCAGGTCATGATCCCGGGACTCATGATCCCAGTGTCCCGGGATCGAGTCCCACATCAGGCTCCATGCTCAGGGGGGAGCCTGCTTCTCTCTCTGCCTCTGCCTGTGACTCTGTCTGCCTGCGCTCACTCTCTCTCTCTCTCTCTCTGACAAATAAATAAATATAAATTAAAAAAAAAATTAGACTCACCTTCTCAGTTTCCAGAAGAACAATTTTTCTAGAATTTTTAGTGGGACTGTATCGAAGGTATAGATCAAAATAGAGACTTAGCATTAAACTGGAGAACTAGTCCGGACTCACGAACATAACCTGCCCCCACCAGCGCAGATCTGGAAGTTCTCGGTGTTGGGCCGTTTCTGTGTCCAGGGCTTTGTCAGAGTTACCCTAGACGTTTGGTGCGTTACGATACTCCTGTAAAGGATACTGTTTTTAAGATTAATCCTTTCGTAATTACTTGTGTCTCATATGAGGAATGGCTCATCATTTGAATCTGATTTTTACATGGTATGTTTAAACTGCAGATTGAACTGAGTAGCCTAATGTTGTCCTTTCACTAGTGTTCTGCCCCTCCCCCATCCTTCTCTCTGGAATTCAACCAAATTGTGGTGGACTAATGGTTTACTTTTATTTTTTGCTGCTTTTGACTCGTTGATCTTGATAGTTCGTGGAAGGTTAAATAGGAAGCCCGCCATCATGTCACAGGTACGAGGAGGGGTCTGTGGGCCGGGTCTGTCATCTCGTGTCCGATGGCAGCACAGAGCAGGACCCAGTGTTCCCTGTGCAGTCAGAGGATTGGCTTCCAGCCGTGGCTGCTGGCACAGCTGCACCCTAATCTTAGGAGAATCACTTAATCTTTCTGGGCCTCTTTTCAAATGAGGAGATTAATCCTTCCTGCCTGATCTTCCGGGCTATCTGAGGGCTGCTGCAGGAGAGAGCGTTTTAAGCTCTGTCGGCTGTGGAAGAGCTCTCTGACGGGGCTGTGAGCTCCCACATGCATTTTCATCTTCCTCTGCACGGGAGCTCATCTCCCCTCTGCCGAGTGCGTCCCTAATGCCGTTCGGCGGTCATACACGGAGGAAGGAAAATGAGACCCCCTCTTCCATGGAGGTGCGACTGACACTGCAGTCAGCTGTAACGGCCGTCGGCTCACGGCCAGGATCAGGAGTGGGAGTTTTTGAGTGAAGGAAGCTGCTTCGGGTTCACTCAGAATAGAGGGGGTCACGTGTGCAGAGAGGAGACGGCTTGTCCAGCCCCCACAGCCTGTCGGGGCTGCTGCCAGACGCACGTGCTCTCCCGCAGGGGCGGCCGGCCCACACTGGACGTTCTCTGGATGCCTCCGGGGGTGGTGGGCATCAGGGAAGGGGTCGCGTGGACGTAGCAGAAAAACTAACCAACAGCAGCTCAAACAGTTCAGAATTTATGTTTATCAGATAGCAAGAACTCCGAGCACCGGTGGTTCCTGGCATAGCCTGCCTGTTTACTGGTGGTGTCGAGGACCCAGATTCTTCCACATTTTCTCCTCTGCCGCTTTCAGTGTCCTGGCTTCTCGCCCTGCTGTCCTGTCACACTGGGAGCTCCAGAAGCCATTTCGCAGGCCCCACATCTGCGTTCAGGCAGAGAGGAGGGGCCGGAGGCGGAGCCAACCCGGCTGTCCTTTGAGCAGGAAGAGTTTTTACCTTCCCAGGAACTCCTGTCCTTTCTGCATGCCAGAGCTTTGCAGAATGGCTCCTCCTAGCTCCGGGGAAGACCACCAGCCTCTGCGGAAGATGCCTGTGAGAAGGGGGCTGGGAAACACGCGTCTGCTAGATGAGCCAGCTGCCAGTGCCTGCCACCTTAGGTCTTCCTGAGTGGAGAGTGAGGCAGTGACACAATAAAGTAGACCAGTCGCATTCAGCAGGGAGGTCTAGTGAGGCGCTAGGCCAAGTCCACTGCTTTTTTGTCTTTTCTTTAAATGCTGCTGACTTTCATGTCCCATTTCTTACGCAGCTTGTTGCCACTCTGACGTTCTTTCCTGTTGGTATGACGTCGGCAGCTAAACCCTATTCTTATTCTGGTAGTAAACACTGAGTGTGTGTAACAAGGAAAACACATTAGCAAGAGAGATGAAGGTTAATGAGAATTTAGAGCTAACTTTTAGTTCAGAATTTGTGGATGTTTTGCCATGTAGTCACTTACGTAATCTCTGTGCTGCTTTACTGATTTTGAAGAGAAAATGCATGTGGTAAGTAGGTTGGTCTCCTTAGGAAAGGTATGTTACTTAATCACAACGCAGTGTATCCCAAGGTTCATACGTATGTGAACAACAAGCCGGAGTGAATAGAAGAATGTATTTAACCGGACTGCTCGGTGGCATGGAGTATTCTAGATTGCTGACTTTTGAAAGTTCACTAATTCCCTGTCACAGGTTCCTAGGTCTAACGTTTAGCCCAAGGAGAGTCCAGTGAACATAATCTTGAATGTCTTGCAACATTTTTTGGCTGGTTGGTGCCTGAGAGCTCTGACCCGGAGTCCAAGATCCTGCTGTCTGAGCAGGTAGCCAGTAGACACACGTGGTCATTTATATTCAGGTTTGGATTAAAGCAGAAGACATGAAAAATTCGATTCGTTAGTTGCATAAGCTACATTTCAGGTGCTTAGTGGTGGCATGGGGCTGGAGGCTTCCGTGGCTGGTGGCTCCCGTGTCAAGTAGCCGCCGCGGCAGAATAATGCTGCATCAGAGAGCTCTCTGTGAGCTGATGCTGCCCTGAGAGCTCGGTGTCACTGTCCCAGCAGCCTGCTGGGGATCAGTTTCTGGTACTAGTTTATTTTATTTGACTTGGACCTTTTTAAAAGTGAACTAAAGCAAATTTCAGTAAATCAGGGTCCTCAGTTTTGGTTTTAGTGTTTATATTTCCTATATTTGCCTTTTCAGTTGTTTCTATGTTCTGATTTGACATTAATACAAAAAGGTTTGGCGTGGGCTGTTTCTGGTAGGTTTGGAGGCCCTTGCGAGTGGCAGACAGGCTCACTTTCTGGTCCCTGACAGCGCTGATCTTACTTACTGGGTCACTGGCCCCCTGTATATCTCCACTCCCTTTTAAACCTTTTAGAAGAAGTAAAATATAGAAAAGGAAGTGCTAAACTAGAACTCTGTAAAGCATAAGTACTTGAAAATGAAATTTTTGTCTAAGTATAAAAAGCTATGTAGAGGAGAGAATTATTAAAGTGTCCCTGAGACCATGTCCTTCACCACCATCTCCTCTAGACTCCCATCCTCTGGACTACCTCTCAAAGTCCTGCTTTTCTTTGTCTTAATAAGGTTTCTGCTTTTGAGGATACCCTCTGCTCATGAGTGTCTTTGAGGTTTTATTTGGGAAAATGAATTTGTTTTTCTCCTTGCTTGCTTTTTTTTTTTTTTTTTTTTTTGCCACTGGGATTATTCAGAAAGGAAAAACTCTAGGGTCAGAGTCCTCTTGGTGCTCGGCCCAGAAATGCCTCTGCACGTAGGGCTGAGCAGGAAGGGCCCATTCCCAGGACCCTGCTCATTCAGGAGTCCATGCGGAAGTCAGGAGGAGCTATGGGTTGATTGCGTGGTTGGTGGTGTTTGTGTCTTTCCTTTGATGAGGTAGGGGCTATGAAAGATTAGGTGCATCGCATCCAAACAATAATGTGGAAAAGATAGTTTGTGAGAAAGTGAGGACTGCCGTTTGCTTGTGGGAAACTGACAGATTGCTTTCTTTTTTCTTCTCATTAAAGAAGGCTACAGTGTGGGCTTTTGCCTTGTGTGGTGCCTGGACAGACAGTGCTCGGGGCTCTGCGAGGCTGCCCTTGCAGTCCTGCTCTTCTCTTTGGGCTTGACTCTGCGGGCTCCGCTACTTGAGCTCAATTCTGTGTGGCAGGAAGCCCAGGCATTGCCTGTCTTTTGTGTCAGACTCCAGAAACGCTACTCAGGGGTTGAACTGTTAGGAAATGATGGGTTAGCACTGTGCACGCAGGAGCCCTTTCACCGCCATGCCCTCCTTCTTGTCCCTTGTCTGCTGCTCTGAGCAAGTCAAAGCATCTAGTTAGATGCTCTGAAGGGGTACTCTAGGGACCCTTGGCTACCATACAGATTAAGTACTTCTTTACTCTTGGTTTTTTTTCTTTTACTTTTTTTTAGTTCCGTTTTCGTTTCATATCTTGATAAAAGTTTTTCATTTTTAAAATTAAAATATTTTCTTCTTTCTCTTAGATTCAGAATATTAAACAGACAAACAGCGCTCTCAAAGAAAAACTTGACGGTGGAATAGAACCATATCGGCTTCCAGAGGTAGGGTTCTGTTGACGCCCTCTTAGAATTCGTAACCAAGTTTTCTGGGCTTAAGAATTGAACGCCTATGTAATACATCTCCAGTATACCTCCCATAGAAAGGTATAGACACAATTTTGAGAACTTAGTTGATGTTGAAATTCTCATAGGAGAAAAAATAAGATTCATTAGTTCTCTTAAGGACGGACGCACCTATAAATGCATTTTGCTCACATGACTCCTTTGAACGTGCAGGCCGTGCAGAAGTGCAATGCTCGGTGGACCACAGAAGAGCAGCTCCTCGCGGTACAAGGTAGGGGGAGTCCTTCTTGTGGGTTTGGGGCTGTGGCCGTCTTTAGGAAAAGTCATTCCTCACCCCACTCCCATCCCACCACTTGTGGAGTAGCATGTTGGGTTCTGAATGGTCAGAAAGTACAAAACCCCAAAGCAGCAGATTGTCAGAATTCTACTGTTGGAGGTGTTCTAGTCCTGGGGAGCCTGAAAAGAAGAATGCAGAGTGCCCATAGCCACAGGACGGGGGCTGGCTGACTTCAGGTATCTTGGGAGAGGTGATAAAAAGTGCAGATTTCTGGATGACAGGGTCCTGCTGGACTTCTTGGATCAGTCAGCTACGAAATGGATCTACATCGCTGCTTTTTCCTCACCGGTGTAATGCATTAAGATAGTGCCTGCCGATGGGATCTCGAGGGAGACAAACCATAAGAGACTCCTAATCTCAGGAAACAAACAGGGTTGCTGGGGAGGAAAGGGCGGGAGGGGCAGCGGGGTGATGGACACTGGGGAGGGTATGTGCTATGGTGAGCACTGTGAAATGTGTAGGACTAATGATTCACAGACCTGTACCCCTGGGGCAAATAATACACTAAATGTTAATAATAATAAAAAAAGATAGTGCCTACTATTAGAAGCCCCCTGTGTTTTCTTATCCAGATAAAGGAAGGGGCAAGTCTCCGTTGTATGGGTTTTTCAGTTGTTTTTCCCCTGTATTGAAAAGCAATGCTCTCTTACATCCTTAGCCATCAGGAAGTACGGCCGGGATTTTCAGGCAATCTCAGATGTGATTGGGAACAAATCAGTGGTACAAGTGAAAAACTTTTTTGTAAATTATCGACGCCGCTTCAACATAGATGAAGTTTTACAAGAATGGGAGGCAGAGCATGGTAAAGAAGAGACCAACGGGCCCAGTAGCCAGAAACCTATCAAGTCCCCGGATAATTCTATCAAGATGCCTGAAGAGGAAGACGAGGTAAATCTGAAACAATAGGATCGCTGCCAGCTTCATGCTTGAGATGCGGTTTCTTCTTTGATGGCCTTTCTCAGCTCTGGAAATATTTTTAGCTCTCAGCTCTGTCAGTGACTTGACTTTTACCTATAAATGCCATAGTAGTTGGCGCCAGTCAGTTTTGGGTCACTAGGTATATTATTCACATTTTAATTCCTGTGCAAATTCTTCGTTCCTTCCTGGTTTCTCCAGCCACAGAACATTCCACATTACCGACTTCTCTTAGCTCACATAAGAACTCAGCCATAAAGCAGTAAATTGGAAGTGCCTTGAGCAGTGTTAGTCAAACTCAGTCCTGTGAAATGGGTTGTCCTCCCAGTGGGAGGTTAATGAACTTGCCGGGGACTCGGCACTGCCGGGGACTCGGCCCAGCTAGCCAGCCAGGAGCTCCGAGGTCTGTCCGTTGTCCCAGACCATCCAGCCTTTGTTGGATGTTTGGGGCCAGTGGGTTTAAATGCTGATGGGGACAGTTCCAGGTTGTGTGGTTGGCTGGACCTTCCGGGCTGGTGGCTGACATTCTGGCAGTCTTCCTGGATAGCTGCACTGATGTCATCCGCCGACTCCGCCCAGCTTGGGCCGCCGGATTACTGAGGCTGCGCAGCCCCATCTGCTGTCACCCCGCTTCCTGGGAAGCGGGTGCTGGTCATTTCTCCAGCTTATCTGGTGAGCCCTGCTACATATATTTACCCCCACTCCCCCAGAGGAGCAAAGTGGGGCTGGGCAGAGAGGAGAGTTCGCTTCCAGCCACTTGACACTTGAGTTTGTTCACTGACCTGGATTAAGGGTTAATTGAGCTTTACAGGAAAAGTCACTTTCTCATCAAAGCCTCTCTCAGACCATGCAGGAATTATTTGAAATGATATATTCTGTATTGTCTGTGCTCCCCCTTTACTCTAAGAGCCTAGTTATAAAAGCAGCCAGAGTCCCCCGCCCCCCACCCCTACACCGGAGCACACAGAATGCCTCACCTGGGACATCCCCCACCCAACACGCCGTAGATGGCGCTCCCTGTGCCTCTGCACTGACGCACATGGCCACAGGCACTTTGTGTCTGTAGGTCTGTCAAAAGGGCATCAAAACATCCCCACTCTGTTAGACTCTTTAAAGCTTTCTACCAGAAAACCTTTGTAGTAAGTGTACAGAATTATTGTTGATAACAGTGTGAGTGTTCCCCCAAGCCATGCACATGCGTGGCTCAGCCCGAGACCCTGGGATGGAGCAGCATGTGAGCAGGGAGAAGGGGTTTGCAGCTTTTAGCAGTAATTATTGTCCCAGTGCTAGTTGCCACTTCAGCAGCAAATTAACTTCCTCACATCCTGGACTCAAGAAGCATTGAAAGATGAGAATTACCAAGGAAGGAACATTAGAATTTGCTAGAATGACAGCCTCCATGTGTTTTTCAGCTTTAGTCCCAGGAAGCAGAAATAATAGGAAGCTTTGGCTCTCTTCCTTCTTAAAATTTAATCAGAGTGGGTGTTGGCAGGGTTAGCCTAAAAAATGTGGTCGTAAATTTGGGACCAAGGGCTGTCACCAATGGGATGGGATGTGAGTTCTTTCCATATACTTTCCTCCCTTTTCTTAAGCCTGGTTCACTCACTGACAGTTAACATTTCTTTCTTTGTGGTCCAGAAGGGCCATTCTTCATGGTCCACTCACCATGTTGATTGCACATCAAAATGCCCGCATAATTCTCTTCCCAGACTCTGGGAGTGTTGGATCACCCGTGACCACATTTCCCACCAAGCAGCATGTCTTCATTTCTCTCTAGTGGTTGATTTTCCATGTATCTGTTTGCCCAACCTTCTCTTCAAAACCAGCACTTCTCCTTTACATATGATCTTCATGTTATCTATAAACATCTTCACCTCTTCAGTCATTTAAATCCCCACCATCACACACATTGTTTCCTTTTATTTGGTCCCTCCCTCCCTCCCTCCCTTTCTAAAAAACATTTATTTGAGAGCGAGAGCCAAGAGTGATCACAGTGGGAGAGGGAGTGGACTCCCCGCTGAGCAGGGAGCCCAGTGCGGGACTGGATCCCAGGACCCCAGGATCATGACCTGAGCCAAAGGCAGACGCTTAACCCACCGAGCCAGCCAGGTGCTGCAGTCCCTTTCTTCTGGTGCTCCTTGTACCAGCCTTCCCGCTTGACCACCCTGCTTTTCTCGTCTTCGTATGGCAGTTTGCAAAAGGAAATCAGTCTGTAAGGACCAGCTACTTCTCTGTGTCCATGAGGGGCCTGAGGGAACTCATTAGAATGCTGGTTGATGGTCTGTCTAGTCAGTGCCCAGAACTGGGTGCCCCTGTAATTTCTCGTTCTTGTGTAGTCTGTGGAATCTAGCAACTAAGAAAGAGGTCTGTTGCTGTCCTGCCCGCTCCTTCCGCCCTCAGATTTTATGTGTTAAATGTAGTACAGACAGGGAGGAGGACATCAGAATTGCCAGAAGTTCCAGTAACATAATGGCCTGTTAGCTGTAGGCTTTTTTCCCTCAGGGCTGAGAAGGGAAGGCAGCCTCTGGGTTCTGAGCTTTTGAGGTTTAGAATTCTCTGAAGTGGACAGAGACACAGTACAGAGCAGGGTGTGTGATGTGGCCAGAGTGGGTGATGGGGATGCTGGGCAGGACTGGTTTGGAGCTAGTCTCCCTTCAGGTTGCAGAATGACATGAGTATGTTCCTCGTGAGGAGAAATCTGCTGTTGTAACAGCTGTTCTCATAAATTGTGATGTTGCCCAAAGAAAATGCTATTTTCAGATTCGGGGTTCCTAGTGGTTTCTCTAGGAATAAGAGAGGCATCATGAGGGTAGCAATGAGCACGAAGACGACTTAAAACCTTCTGGTTTGGGTCTGGGAGTTCGTTTTAGTTAAGAAATGCTTTTTGAGGGGCGCCTGGGTGGCTCAGTGGGTTAAAGCCTCTGCCTTCGGCTCAGGTCATGATCCCAGGGTCCTGGGTTCGAGCCCTGCATCGGGCTCTCTGCTCAGCGGGGAACCTGCTTCCCCCTTCCCTCTCTCTCTGCCTGCCTCTCTGCCTACTTGTGATCTCTCTCTGTCAAATAAATAAATAAAATCTTAAAAAAAAAAAAAAAAAGAAAAGAAATGCTTTTGAGCCTTTTCAAGAAGATCCTGTGATCTTAGCTCTCGTGTGTGCCCGCATGTCCCAGCACAGGCCAGGGCTGTTGGCTGAGTGGGTTAGGCCTCCCTCCAGCCAGTGCCGACACACCCGAGAGCTGCTGTGGCCGTGCGCTGTGCTGACGTTCCCTCTCCAGCGACTTTATCTGATCCTGTGAAGTAGACATCAGGATCGTGTCTGTTCGGCAGATGAAGCAACAGAAATTGGGAAAGAAATAACTCGTCCAAGGATCCACATCTAGAAAGTGGCAGAGCCAGGATTTGAGCCTGAGATATCTGGCCGTGCAGGCCGCCCTCGTACCCTCCCTGCCATGCCCAGGCCCTGCCCTTCGGGACACACGTGTGTTCGGGGTAGGCGGGCGGCCCGCAGCCTCTCGTCCTGGCTCAGCACACCGGAGGTAGCGGTTCGTGGTGTGAACCTGCTCTTTGATTCTTTTTTCTTCCCCTTCTCTCCTCAGGCTGCTTCTGTTCTTGACGTCAGATACGCATCTGCTTCATGAGAAGCTCTGGTAGCTTTGAGCACTTGGTATGGACGACTGCGCTACCCAGGATATCAGGTATTCCAAGACATCACCTAGCCGTCGGCATCACATCTCTGTGGACAAGCAGCTATTACCAAAAAAGGCGTACACTTCAGTCCTCTGCTCCATCTGCCTTAATCCTGTGCTTGCTCCTCCCTGTTGGCGCCACTTCCCGGAGAGCCCCTTGCATCTCCCACACTCTGCCTGAGTGCTGGGGAGCCTCGTGGCCTGCACGCCTCCTGTGACTCTGGGGACCCCTCCCCGGGCGAAGCTCCTGAGCCCCACCGATGGCAGCTCTGCCCAGTCAGCAGCAGCGTCAAACAGGTAGTCGACTTGGAAGGCACGACTCTGTTCCTGCATGGCCTGCCACTTCTCCTTTGTGCATAATGTAATTTTCAGAGTGACTGTGACCCTGTTGGCCTTTTAGGAAGTTTCTCTTGTTTTCTGAGGCAACCACCTAAGTGATATCATGCTTCTTTGGAAATCACAGTATACTGGCAGACTGCGTTATAACCTCCGTTGTGCCAAACATCCTCAGACAGCTCACCTTTCCCCCAGACGTTGGGTGTAATTATGGTTTGTAAATTTAGCTGGCTTGAATCTCACCCTTCTCCCTTCCTAAGTGATAGAAAAGCTCATTCGCAGCAACTGTCCTCGGACACTAGCTTAAAGGGAACGTGGACTTCAACACTTCTGCCTTCAGCTTTCCGCATTGTGATCGCAGGACCGGAGCCACCCTGTCTTTTCCGGATCCCCCCACCCCACCATCCAGCTCCAAGAGCTGCGGTCCACACCACTGTACCTGGTGCTTGTGCATTGGAATTGGTGCCTTCTCCTTTTGGCAACCATGTTATCAACCCTTTTTTCTGTTTTAGTGTCTTATTTCTTCTTTAAAGTTTATTGCTTGCCAAAGATAACATCACCGAGATTAGGAGACAGGGGAGAAATTGCTGCACATTCTGACAGTGCAGATTTTAAATGTCAGGTTAGCTCACTAAAGGGTACTAGAATGGCTGGGAAGGGTTTTAGAAAAGCTACACATTGTTTGTTGCCCGCTCTGTTGGTACGCCTGGCCTTCTACACGTCACCCATAGAGCTTTCTTTGTCCTTCATATACCGATGTGATGATAAAAACACCGTCCTTTTTCTTTGAATATGACAGTACAGGACAGAGAAGTGACCAGTTTATTGGCTCTAGTAAGACCAAGACGAAAAGAAACAATGTACAAAGTGGTCTGTAATGCCTTTTGGTTGGACTGGGAACAAGTAAATGTTTCTAATAAATGTTTTGAGATTTCCAGAATCACTTATTCTCGTACCAGACTGTGGACCCACTGCGGGGCTGAGGGATAGACTGTCAGACCGCGTTCTCATGTAACCTGTGTCCCGCCCACGGTCAGTCCAGCCTGCACTAAATATGTTGAAGGAGCTTTTGTTGCTGTTGTTTTGCATCATTTAAATATTTTTCCTGCTTTCAATACCAAAAAGAAAAAAAAAATGCAGATGCTTTAAGGCACAAACAGAATTCTTAAGAATTTAAAATATGCAATTAAAATTTGATGTGTTTTGACTCCCAAGCACCTTGCTCCCCCTCCCCCCTTTTTTTAAAGTCCGCTGATTGTCTCTTTAGGAAGAGGGTCGGCTAGAAACCTAGACTGTTTGGAATTATCTGTTTTTAGATATCTGGAGAAAGGTCATTCACAAGGGGAGTAAGATGGGACTTTTGACTTTCGTCATCTTGTGCCCTCACGGGGTGTTTGTGGGTCAGGTAGGAGCATGTGAAGAATAGCATCCGAGGAGGCAGAGGGCGGCCACAGCTCGCTGCCCCCACCTGGACGGGGGAGCATCATAACACTAGTCGTGCGGTAGGGTTTGTCTGGGCTCGTATCCTAAGCCTGCCGCGTCATTGGAAAAGGGCAGGTGAACCATGGAGAGGAGGTGGCGCAAGTTTTGCACATCGCTTAAAGGGGACACTAGGCAAGAAGCGAGGCTGTAGGTTCTCTTCGCTTCTTCTCAAGGCCTCCTTCCTCTTTACGGAAGCAGCAGGTAGTTTGCTGCTGTGGGTCTCATTCTGCCGGTAAATCTGTTCTCTCCGTGTGCCTGGGCTGTTTTCCTTCTGGCAATGCGTGAAAGGCCCATGTTCTTAGGGAGTGGGGCGGGCAGCGCGCCAGCACTGCCTCCCGCACCATCCGCTCACGGGCTAGCCCGGCGCCGAGGAGTCCCCACGCCAGTGTGCTTGGCCGCCCCCAGCGCCCGTTCTGGCTTTCTGTCCACGGGAAGCGGCCGTCGCTGTTGTCGTTTGCCAGAAGGAAGAGAGATGGTTCTCTTTGCCTGACTCCTTCCTTGTAGTTTCAAGCATAACGTAGCACTGTGTTTTAAACTGTTCCATTACACTGTCTTTGCAACGATGTTGTAAATGCAAGAAATCACTTCGCTTGAAAAGCTGAGTGATGGATCTTATTTATGTGAAGCCCCTTTTTTAACATATCAAGATTTCGGTGCATCAGCAGGTCGTGTTTGGATGTGGAAGGGTCCACAGTGACAACTGCTTCGGATGCAATGTTCACTTAAGCTTTGTCTTCTTAAAAATTGATCAATGTGAATGTCATAATTATATATATATTTTTGTGGAAAATTTCTCCTAAGTATAAGTTATTGTGCAAAATATAGTACCATTGAAGCAAATGATAGTTTAACTTTTAGTTTAGAAATCCTAAAAGATATAAATTGTATTGCATATGCATTAAAAGTTTTTTTTATTTAATTTTATGTAGGTGTGTAAAGTGTTAGGTAAAAATTGTTTTCACTTATCCATTTAAACACCTTGTTACTTGAATATTGTGTTGACTGGTCTGAAACAGCGATTGATCCTGTAACATAGCTCTTTTAACCGTGATGGCTGTGCCTCAGTTGTGCTGATCTTGCCGGGGCGCACAGGCCGGCGCCACTGTCCGCAGGCACCCGCGGTTAGTGTAACACACCTTCTGCGTGCTCTTGGTGTGTTCGTGCCCACCAGGACACCAGTTCCTCAGAGTGGTTTTTGATCGTTTTCAACCTATAAAGACCCTTTGATTAGGCCACCAACCTCTCTAATCAAAAAATGAAAATGAAAAAATTGTTGAGTTTTCCAAGCTTACGGTGGTAGACTAATTAAGCAGTTGTTTTCTGTGTGTAAAAGTTCCCGCAGATACCACACACCACTCTAAGTGTGCTCATTGTCACTTTAAATTTCAGCTATGCCCTATTTTTGTCTTTCTGAATATCAGATGTACTATTGGTATAACTGCATACCAAAAATAAGCCAAACAGTGCATTACACTAACTGGATCCCTGCTTAATGGAGCAAAGGAAAGACGGAGCCAGCTCAAACGAGAGCCTCGTTTCCTCTCTCGTCCGGCCTGTGTCTAAGCCCAGTGACCCAGGATCCAAGCTTTCAGTATCAAGTGAAACTTGGCTTCACGTTGACTCCAGGTAGTTAGCTAATCTGAACTCTGTGATCTTGTGCAATGCTCACAAACCAATCCTCTCCCCGCCCCTCCCCGGGCCCTTGCAGCTTTCCCTCCTTACCCAGAAGCACAATTGCAGCAATGTTACAATTCAGAAGAAGGAAGGTCAGTAGAGTCTATGCATGTCGTGTGATAATGAGTGTTTACAGTCACCTTCTCCGAAAACTAAAATTTATACTGGAGTGGATAGTATTCCATTACGTAGACCTATCAACTTTGCTAAGTGCTTTTTAGATTGCTTAAAAATTTTTCAAGATTTTAAAAGATGTATAAGGTTAAGTTTGCAAATATAATGGAAATGCTGTATATCTTTTGAAGTGATAAAATCCACGTTGGAATTTTAAAGAAAATATGTTGTAATAATGCTGTTGTAAGTACTATTTTAATGTCTCTTTCTGCCTGTTTTCTATATCAGCACACTCGTGGTGAATGTTCATAGCATTATAATTGCTTAGCCATTGAATGATAACATTTGTTAGTGGAGATCGAAAAATTTATTTGTGAAATTCTGCAGAATTCATTTTTCTATTTCTAATACTTGCTGAAGTTAAATAAAAAATTTTCAAGCCATTGATGTAATAAAATATGAGACAAAACCGTTTTCTGCACCCTCCCCTTTGCATCAGAGCAGCGGCCCGTGCCAGTGCATGGTGGGGTTTTGCGATGGGCATTGCGGTTTCCGAGTGGAGACACCCCCGGAATTATACCCTTGGAAGCAGCTACGGATGCCTTCTGTGTTTAGCCTGTGGCGCTCCTTGAACTGCATTTTTTAAAAAATTTTAATGTACGATGATCTTATGTTTGGGACCAGGTCAAGACGCAGATCGTAGCGGTTGGCAGCATTGAGGGCTCCCGTGTCCAGGCTCACTGAGAAGACGTTTCATTCCCCATTAGTAGTTTTTCTCTTTTCAGCCTGACCAGGCTTGCCACCTGGACGCTGGCCTCTGCATCGCCCTGGACTGTGGCAGTGAAGAAGCCGACCACCACCTCGTCGCTCCTGGTCTGCCAAGCATGGACGTGGCTCTGCCCTCAGCACCGCGGAGTGGTATGAAGAGTGCTGCAGCGGCCGCGGCCGCCTCTGCCGTCTCCTCTTGTGGCCGGAGTGGGGTCTGGCTAGGGGCCTCCGGAAGAACCTGACCTCACACCCAGCGCTGCTTCGGGCAGCATTGACGGTCCGCAGACGGGGCCTCTCTGTGTGTGTGACTTGGCAGAGGGTAGAAGGGGGTTCGTAGGACACCTGTGAGAGTTCCTTGCCCAGTCACCCACTCTCAGCGTCACAGGAGAGGATGCCGGGTGCCGCCAGAGGGTCTTCCCGGGTGACACCTGGGGCAGCACCCAGGAGGGACGGACAGAGGCTCAGGCTGTCTCGTGTGACTTGTGGAGGTGCCTTGTGGTACCGAAAGCGCCCTGCGCTGTCCCGCCAGGAGGTGAAAGAAAGGGAAACTGAGGGAGAGTGCAGGCGCAGGGAGAGAGGAGAGGAGGGTCGAGGTTGAGGAAAGGAGGTGGCCCACTGTCAACAGTGCTGGACGTCTGCCAGGATGGGAGCCAAATGGGCTGCTTGGGCTTGGCCACCATTGCCTTAGAAGCGTGACCAGCACTAAGGGAAGGAGGTGGAGGGAGTTAGGGCAGTGCTGAGGGGGAGGTGGCTTCCAGAGGCCTGGACTGCCACCCCTGGGCGGGACCTCAGGCAGCAGGGAGACCTGTCATGGGTCCTGACATCAAGGGTGCTTGAGGGAGCCCAGGCCCCGCTCATCTCTCGGGCCCCATCGCCCCCGGTCTCTGCCGGCGCTGCCGTAGGTGCTGCTGCCCGCTGTCCTGAGTGGGAGGCGGTGGGGGCTGGGCCAGAGAGCAGGAGGAAGTTGGGGTGCCAGGGGGCAACCCCTGAGGGCCTTTGAGGTGACTGCCTGGAAACAGTCCCTGTCACTCCTCATTCCCTGGGCTCCCATTCAGAATAGAGCCCTCATGACAGGCGCTGCTCTCTGGCGCGCTCAGGGCCAAGGCCACTGGGAGGCGGCAAGTCTCTCTCTGCCCACAGGTGTGTCCTGGGCTGGATCGCTTCTGTAGAAGGGAGAGGCCTCGAGAGCACTTGGCAGCCTGTATTTCAGGAGCCGGCGCGGCAGCACCCGGCCGGGGCTCCCGGCTCCATCCGCGCCTGTCCTAGAGGCCAGCCCGCTGCCCACAGGCGCCTCGGCATCCTGTGCGGCCGGAGCGCCGCAGTCTCCTTCCCTCTCGGCAGTCGGGAGCGCACTTGCTCCCTGTGGCAGCTGGGTGATCCCGAGGGGACCTGTCTGCCGGGCAGCCTCCCAGGTATGCAGCCCTGGGGCCACCACTGGCCTCCCCCCCTCCCAGCTCTTCTTCCCTGGACCGCGCCCCCTGCGCAGCCTCCCCTTATTCCACCGGGGCCTGAGCGTGCTGGCGCCAAGCTCTGCTCCTGGGTCCGTCCGTCCGTCCCTTGGAGCGACCCGTCCAAACTTGTTTCCCCTGCTTCTCCTTGTAAGTTCTTGGTGTATGCACGGCTGTGTGTCTGTCCCCTACCTCTGAGTCCCCCTTGCAGCTCCCCCCACTCCCCCGCCCCATTCCTACTGCCAGCGACAGCTCCAGCCCTTCCTGGGCCACTCGTCTCGTCCCGACCCTCCTTCTCCCTTCTCTTGCCTGCTCCTCGCCCCTCTTCCCCCAGCCCTCGTCAGGGCTCTTTCCTGCTTAGAACCGTTTGTCTGTCTTCTAGAGAAATCCAGCCCTGCGTCTGTGGGCAATGTGACCTTGCTGTCTCGGGGACGGTCTGTGCTGTCTCGGCGGTGCCAACCCTGCTGCCCGGCCCCGCCCCCACCACATCCACCTGTCCGCACGTACCTCTTTCCCGGATTATAAAGAAATGGCTTAAGCGTTGCTTATCCTTTGAAGCAGGTAAGCGACCCAGGGGCTATGGAAATCCTGGAGAGGAACGTGGTCCCCGCCCTCCACCCCTCTGACTGCCCGGTCTGTCCACACGCAG